AGCTCAAGTGGTAGAGCGCTCGCCTTGAGCTGAAGAGCTGAGGGACAGCGCCCAGGCCCAGAGTTCAAGCCCCACGACCGACAAAAAAAAAAAGAAAAAGACACAAGTGGCAATGTGGCTTACGTGGTAGGGCATTAGCCGTGAGCAAAAAGGAGCTCAAGGACAGCACCCAAGCCCAGAGTTCAAGCCCCATGACCAGAACAACAACAACAACTCAGGCACCTACACACTTCGGTGAGTTCTCATTTATGCTCAAGCAAGGCAAACAGTGTAGGTGGCTACTTCTATGTGCCAGCTCCAACAGAAGTAGTAGTAGTAATAGTAGTAAATGGTAATAGTAGCACCTTACAATAAGAGAAACAAGTGCCAAAGAGTCATCAAGAGAAATAACCAAAGCCAAGCTTGAGACTACATGCTTGTAGTCTCAGCAACTTCAGAGGCAGAAGCAGGAGGATTGCAAGTTTGAAACCAGCCTAGACTACTTAGCAAAACTCTGTCTCAAAAAATAAAACAACAAAAGAGAACTTAAACTAGAAAATTTAGGCCAAGCCATATTTGCATAAAATTCAACCCGGGAGTTCCCTTCAGTTTAGGGGAAAGGAGAGCACTGGGGAAAAGGATGCATTTTTGTAGGGGATCAAAGATCTGTCAAGTGTCTTAGGATTTTGTTTTTTCTGCACAACAGAGCCTAGAGGAATGGGACCTGCTCAAAATCATATTAATAGTTAATGACACAACTGACATCAAAGATGAGTTTTCCAAAGCCATTGCTATTAATCCTGTAATTTTTTTTTTTTTTTGCCAGACTTAGGGCTTGAACTCTGGGCCTATGCAATGTCTGTGAGCTTCTTTTGCTCAAAGCTAGCACTCTACCACTTGCACCACAGCACTACTTCCAGCTTTTTTTGTGTATGTAGTACTGAGGAATCAAACCCAGGGCTCCATGCATGCTAGGCATGCACTCTACCACTAAACCACATTCCCAGCCCTCCTGTAATTTTTTGTTAGTACATTTTAATTGTATAGAGTGAGGGGTTTCATGGTGACATTGCTATACATGCATGTAATATAGTTTGATCAAACTCACCCCCTCTACCACTCTTTCTTGTTCGTTGATGTAAAGCACTTAGGTCTAACACCCTAGCCTGCCTGTCTGCCTTCCTTCCTTCCTTCCTTCCTACTTTTCTTTCTTTCTTCTTCCTTCGTTCTTTCTTTCTTTCTTTCTTCCTTTCTTTCTTTTTTTGTGCCAGTAGTTGGGTTTGAACTCAGTACCTGGGTGCTGTCCCTTAGCTTTATTGATCAAGACTGGTGCTCTACTAGTTGAGCCACACCTCCACTTGCAGCTTTTTGCTGGTTAATTATAGATAAGAGTCTTACCAATTTTTCTCCCTGGACTAGCTTTGAACTAAGATCCTCAATCTCAACCTCTTGAGTAGCTAGGATTACAAATGTGAGCCGCTGGACCCCTGTGCTATGATGTTGCTAAAGATGAGACGTTTCACTGAGGAACACTTCAAAGGCACACTGACACTTCCTTTGCAGAAGTGCTCAGAGAGTGCATATGTTTTCTGAAGGCTTCTACTGGGCAGGGACTCCAGGAGACAGGGGCCACTCCTCAGGGGAATGGCTGAGTTCCAAGATCTGAGGTCCCTGGGACAGGCAGGGCTGATCCCAGAGCTGGTTCCACCTTGATAAGTAATTAGACATACACAGAAGCACACCCTGTACCCCTTCCCGTTGTCCCTGGACCCCTGGCAAACAAAGCAGCTCAAAGGGTAAACTCCATAAGACAGGTAGCAACAAAGGGACAGGAAGGATGAGACCACAGAGGGCTGGAGCATTAGTTTCTGAGCTAGGAAAGCTGTAAGAGCTGTCTTGCCACTTGTTAAAGAGATGGCCTGGTCAATTTTCTCTAAATCTTCAGCTATAAAATGAGTTTGATTGATGTTTTTCTGTTCCTAGAGAAAGTGTGAGATAATGCATGGGCGGGGTGGGGGGCACTAATGTGGACCCAAAGCAGGAAGAGCTCACAAGCCTCCATTCCAATTAGCTTCAGGGCTGTGAGCCCTATAGAGTCTCTCACCAGAGTTCACCTTGAGCTGTCATGAGTCCTCACCTGAGAGAACTGATGGCCAAGGAGCAACTCTCTGCTTGGAGTATCCCATCTTATGGAAAGCCTTCATGGCACAGCAGCAATAAAGGAGAGTCCTCATCAAAAGTACAAATAAAAACCATCAAAGAGTCAGCACTGGTGACTCACGCCTGTAATCCTAGCTACTCGGGAGGCTGAGATCTGAGGATCACAGTTCAAAGCCAACCCAGGAAAATCTGTGAGACTCTTAACTCCGATAAGCCACCAGAAAACTGGAAGTGATGCTGTGGCTCAAGTGGTAGAGTGCTAGCCTTGAGCTGAAGAGCTCAGGGACAGCGCCCAGGCCCAGAGTTCAGGCCCCATAACCAACAAAAAAAAAACCACATCAAAGAGTTCAACTACTGCTGGACAGCTAGGAAGGGATTTCTTCTATGTCAGTCACCTATCTTTGTAAAAAGGACTTCTGGTAGACTGTGTTTGGGATTTAGTATAAAAAAATAGCTTGTTTTGGCTCATAAACCAGTTTATTTCTAATCTGGAGAATCCCCAGGTTTGCATGTAGTTCTAGTGAGCCCTGAAATACTGGCCACTCAAGTATCATCCGTTTGACTGTTCTAGAACAATCTCATTACTTATAACTACATTATAAACTACTTTGCATCCTTTTTTTTTATTTTAGCAATGGGTGGGATACACATGTGGTAAAATAAATCAGAAATAATTGTTGCTGACAGGCAAGTACAGAGGCTTGGATTTATTTTCCTTAATTTTCTTACCAACTGTAAACCCTTGGACAAATCACGTTATACTGCAGTCCCACACTGTCCCAGGATTGACATGGGAAGTGGCTAACACTGCTGACCAAAGCTTGGGCCTTGAGCCCAGCACAGTGGCTCATGCCTGTGATCCCCCCACGTGGGAGGTTGAGGCAGGAGGATACACAGTTCAAGGCCAGTGTGGCTACACAGCAAGGTGCTCTCCCTCTGCCTGCCTGCCTGCCTGCATGCATGCTGCCCCCTCCCCCTCTCCTGGATGTTATTAAAAGCCTCCACTCTTGTCTCGGGCTGAGTCCCCAGGCTTTCCTGGCACAGAGCACCGGCAGGCTGGCCTTGCTGTCTCACTGTGGAGATCGCAGCCCTGCAGTCTTGGCCGCAGGTTGCAATGGGCCCCTGGGGTCTCCGAGGGGCCTGGGCGCCCCTACCTGCGGTCCGTGTCCTCCTCTGGGTACTTGTCTACCACATTAATGACGTCCAGCACCACCAGCCCCACGCACAGGATCTGCTTCTCTTCCATGAGGCTGCTCGCCGCTGGGCTGACCTGGGCCTGCTGGGCTCTGCCTCCTGTAAGCCGGCCGGGTCCCCGCTCCCCAGGCTCCTCCCCAGGCTCCTCCCCGGAGGCGTACAGAGCTCCTCCCGCAAGAAGCCGCGGGCAGCTGCAGAGCGCAGATTGCGGGCCGCTGGCAACGCCTCACCTGTCAGCCCTGCGGCGCAGCCCCTCCTCCGGCCCAGCCCCTCCACCGGTGCAGCCGGGCAACCCGAGGATGCAGAGCGGAAGCGCACGGCCGCGCGCCACCTCCCGGCCTGGCCTTTGCCCGCCAGGCGACTGGCGACTCTGGACAGGAGCTGGGCCGAGGGTGGCAGCTGCAGCCACCACGCCCCCCCCCCCCCCCCGAGCGGCCTCGCGCTGGGGGCCCGCCCTGCCCGGGAGCCCGGCCCTTCCCATCCGCGAGGAGCCCTGGAGGTGGGCGGGCGTCCGGCGGCTGGGACTGAAGTCTCGGGCGCAGCGGCCCCTAGCGGACGCTGGGGGAACCGACGTGACCCGGCGGAGGACCCCGCAGGGACCCCGCATCCTGGCCCACCTGGCGACCCGCACTTCTGGGGCTAAAGAGAGTGGAAGGGGGTGGGCGCCGTGGGAGGCCCGAGGTCCCCAGACAGGCTGTCGGGTCCCGGCTGGCAGATTTTTGTCTCCTCGCGAACCTACACTGGGGCAAAATGTTAAGTTTTTGTAAAAAAAAAAAAAAGTGTCTTTATTATTCCTGAATAGTTTAGAATGACGGTGGCGTTGCGGGCCCGGCCGGGCACGCCCTGGATAGAGCCAGGGAAGTGGCCTGGAGGCCGGTGGAGGGAGGAGCAAGGGGTGCGAGGATCGAGGATCAAGGATCCAGGATCAGCTCCGGCTCCTGGAGCGAGGGTCCTGGGGCGTCCGGAGGGGCCGTGCTCAGGCCGATGGCTGGGGCTGGACTGGGGGCGCCCGGGACCCCGCGCCCGCGTGCCCCGGCGCGTGAGGAGGCCGCTCTGGGCGTCTGCAGCGCGGCGGGGCTGGTGCAGCGGCTCCCCGAGGGCTGGATGCCCGGAAAGGCTCCTGTGTGGCGGTGTGGCGGTGGAGACGATGCGGCTGGTCTACGCCCGCTCGAGCTCCAGGTCCCCGTAGAGCAGAGCTCCGCTGAAGATGGTGAGCGGCTCCTCCGAGTGCGCGAGCTGCCCCATAACCAGGTCGATACAGACGGTGTCCCCGGGCTGCAGCGGCAGGATGAGGCTGAAGACGCCCAGAGCGCCGGGGCTGGGCTGGCTCTCGGCCACCGGCTTGTTCTCCAGACCCTCGGGTTCGTAACCCCCCGAGTCGATGCGGGCCACGCCCAGGTTAGAGCGGGACAGCACCGCCTCCACTTTCTCGTGCCTGTGTCCCGTGAGCACCGCGCTCAGCAAGTAGCGGCCCGCTAGTGGCGCGGTGAACACACCTGGGGACAAGAGAGGCCATCAGGGGGAGACATGACAAGGCCTGGAAGACTTTAGGGGGCCCTCCTAGACCACAGGGGGAAGGCCTTGCACCTCTTTTGAATTAGGTGGACAACTGTAGGGGAATCGCGCCCTCCCCTCTCATTTTCCCTTCCGTGTGTGTGTGTGTGTGTGTATGTGTGTTTCCCTCTTTTAATTTTTTTTTTCCCCTGTGGATGTAGAGTTGGGAACCAAACTCAGGGCCTTATACATGCTAGGCAAATGAGCTAAATCACCAGCACCATATATATTTGTCAGTACTGGGGTTTGAACTCCCACTTGTCTAGGCTTGCCAGACAGATGCCCATCCCAACGCACTTAAAATAGACCCCAGTAAAGATCTGGGGAGGGAAATGTCCTCTTCTCACCTATTCCTTCAGCTAAAGAGCTAAAGCTGGGGTGAGGAGGAGTGAAGTAAAGGAGAGAGTAGGGGTCATTTAAACTAGAGAATGAATTCATGTTATCTGAAGAGGCAAAAATAACACTATCACAGTCCTGCTGTAGCCATTTCCCTAAGTATCCAACCCAGGAAGTACTCAACCCAGTACCTCCTTTGCTCACCTGTCTCTGGGTCATAGTAGCCTCCATCATTGAGCAGGATTCTGTCGAAGGGGACTGTGCCTGGTTCTGATCGGGGCAAACTCAAGGCAGCTGAAAATGCCACCCGGGGCACAGAGATTGCTGGTGCCCCCTCCTCTCCTGGGTTAGGGTAAGGTGGATGTTAGAATAGGTCAGTAGTCAATTTGCTGGTTACCCTCCCCTCTACCCAGGCAGCCCAGTGGTTTCCATCTTCCAGCCCTGAGTTTGGCTCTCTTTCCTCCTGAATTGAATGAGAACTTACCCTGTTCACCTTGGGGACCTGTGGGAAGAGGAAAGGGAGCAGTGAGAAGTAGGGTAGCTGTCATCAAGTCACTCAGCAAGTATCTGCTGCTGAATTAATTTCTTTCTTTCTTTCCTTCTTTTGTCAGTTGTGGGGATTGAACTCTGGGCCTGGGCACTATACCCGAACTCTTCAGCTCAAGGTGAGCACTCTACCACTTGAGCCACAACGCCACTTTTCTGGTGGTCAATTGGAGATAAGAGTCTCACAGACTTTCCTACCAGGGCTGACTTTGAACCTTGATCCTCAGATCTCAAGTCTCCTGAGTAGCTAGGATTACAGGCGTGAGCCACTGGTGCCCTGCCTTGCTGAATTTCTTTCTACTCTGCATGCTAGGTAGATTTCAAAGCTGGAATAGGGTACCAAGAAAAGGAGGAATGGGCAGGGTCTGTTTTGTTTAATTGCTGGGCTGTGAATCCTAGCCTTCAGCCTTAATCTTCAGCATACCTGTAGAACTAATATATCCAATGGCCGAATACAGCGACCATCTCAGCTCCTAGTCATTTTCTTCTCTTTCCACTGCCACACATTAGAACGCCTCAATTTCTTACCTCTTCCTCCTTTCTCTATGAAGATCAGAGAATAGAATTTCACATCTAGGGTTGCCCAAGTAGGTAGCAACTCTGGCTATATAACAAACCCACATACCTGGTGGTCCAATGGGTCCCTTTAGTCCATCCTTGCCTGGAAGGCCAGGAGGCCCAGCAGGGCCTGGGGGGCCCTGGACTCCAGGAGGTCCTGGGGGCCCAGCCTCACCCGAAGGCCCTATGGCGAGAAAATTAAGTGGAGGGAGAGTCATAAAGGGATGACAAAATTGTGTGGACATGTTGGTTTCTTTTCTTTGGGGGGGGGGTCTGGTTGTGGGGCCTGAACGCTGTCCCTCAGCTCTTCAGCTCAAGGCTAGCACTCTACCACTTGAGCCACAGCGCCACTTCCGGCTTTTTTCTTATGTGATGCTGAGGAATCGAGCCCAGGGCCTCAGGCATACAAGGCAAGCGCTCTACCACTGAGCCACCTTCCCAGCCCCACACGTTGGTTTCTGAGTGGCACCTCCACCCCCAGGTCTGAGTAGCCAGAAGAAGGGGAGGGAGTTAGGATCTTGTATCTTCTCTCTGGACATAATGACTCCTGGGAAAGTGGCTGGGGCTATAATTGGTACTTGGGAGAGCCAAGAGGAGATAAATGAGAGGAAGGAAATGAAGGAAGAAGGAAATGGCTGTCCTGCCTCCCTTTGCTCTCACCAGTGAGATCCTTCAGGCTGAGCTGCTGCAGGCGGTCTTCCAGGAGCAGCAAGGAGCTGTTGAGGGCACTGAGCCGTCTGCCCAGGCCTGCTTGTCCCCCCAGCAGCTTCTCTAGCAGGGCAGCCTGGGTCAGGGTGGAGCTGTTGGTTTCCCGTAGCCCAGCCCAGAGCCCAGCTACGTGTCTGGAAAGGCCTTCACGCAGTCCTTGCAATCCCGCAGCCACAGTGTCCAGCCGCTCACAGACTCCCTCAAGGCGACCCAATCGCCCCTCCAGGCTGGGGCACTGGCCAGCCTGTGCCTGCCCCTCCTCCAGGCCTCGGAAGCGCTCCTCACTTTCTGTAATGTGCTCTGTTGCCTCCTGTTGCAACCTGTTGATCTCAGAAATGATGCTGTCCTTGGTGGCCCCGAGGTCTGCCAGATCCGCACCCTGGCCCTCCACGGTGGTCTGCAGCTCATGCAGTGAGTCATTGAGGGAACTGAAGGTGAGAATGACCTCAGACAGCTCTCCTTGCAGGGCCTGAAGGGCTGAGCCTGAACTGCCCCCAAACACGCTGAAGCCATCCAGGGGCCCACGGCTTGGTCCTCCAACACCTGGACCAGCCCCAGGGCCCCGTGGAGGTAACAGGGGACAGGAGCAGCGCTCCACACCATCCCGAAGGCGGCCCAGCTCCTCTTGGACACCACTGCAGGCCCCACAGCCCTCATCTCCACGGGCCTGCAACAGATCCTCCAGTTGGCCCAGCTGTGTAGCTGTGAGATTCAGCCGCAGTGCGAGTTCTGAGGCTGCCTCCTCCTGTGCATCCATGCGCTCCTGGAGCTGGCTCATGACCCCTTGCAGTTTCTCCAGCAGAACTTGCTGGGCCTCTCCTGCCGCCCCTACCTTATGCAGGCCCGAGCCCACCAGCCGCAGTTGGCCCTCACTGTCCAGCACTCGACGCTCCAAGGCCCTGAGGATCTCACTGGCTGCAGAGTCCTGCTCCCCAGGGACTGCAGAACAGAGCTGCCCACATGCCTGCACAGCCCCTGCCACCTGTTCTTCCAGGAGATCCAAGCGTCCACCCAGCCCCCCACTCACATTAGCCAATAGCCCCTCCAGCTTCTCTAATCGGCCCCGGGTAGCAGGCAGCCAATGGACTAGGCCCCCGGGTTCCTTGGGCCAGCCCTCTTCCTGGTCCTCTGAGGGACCCAGGGTAGAGTTGAAGCGATCCTCCAGGCGAGAGAGGCGGGAGGCTAGGCTGGTATAGCCTGGGGGGTGACCCCCTTGCCCAGCAGCTCCTCCCAGCTCTGTTCCGCGTCGCCCGCTCAACACTGTCACCGAGCCAGCCACTACATCCAGCCTTCGCTCCAGCTCTGCCAGTCGTCGGCCCAGCTCTGGAGGGCAGCATTCCTGCAGGGGCCTGCGACCCATGGCAGGTCCCAGGAGCTGCCGCTGCCGCTCCTCCACAGCAGCCAGTGATTTCTCCAGTGCCCGCAGCCGCTCCCTGTCTTCCTGCTGCTGCTGGCGGAAGCCATCTAGCCCGGCCAGGCACACAGAGCAGGATTCCTGCAGCCGCCGCTCCAGCTGCCTGAGTAGCTCCTCACTGGGGCCAGCTGGGGCTGGAACTGGGACTCTGCCTTCTCCACCACTACCACCATTGTGATGGTTGTTGAGGTGGCCCAGCTCTTGGTCATGGGTGGAGACACGGTTGTCAAGCAGTTGCAGTTGGTGCTGGATCTCATTGAGGGTTTCGTGCACGCCAGGACGGGCAGCTGCATCTGCTGGCTGCTGCCTCCCATTGAAGGCTGTCTCCACGGCCCGCTGCACGTCTTCTGCCAGGCGCCCACTCAGCCCCTGCAGGACACCCTGAAGGCCTTGCATCTCCTTGGTCAGGCTCTGCACCTGCTGCTCCAGCTGCTGCACTTTCTCCGACTCCCCAGGACCTGAAGAGAGGAAAAGGAAGAGCACAGAGGGGCTGAACCTCAGAGCTCAGTGTCTACCTCCTAGGCCCTGCTTACCCTAACCTGGGGCTCAGGTAGAGTGCTTGCCTAGCATGCATGAAGCCCAGGGGTCAATTTCTCTGTACCACATAAGCAGAAAAAGCTGGAAGAGGCGCTGTGGCTCAATTAGTAGAGTTCTAGCCTTGAGTATAGAGAGGTTCAGGGACAGTGCCCAGGCCCTGAGTTCAAGCCTCAGGACTGGCAAAAAAAAAATACCCTACCTCTGGCAAAAGTCAGAGGCTTCATTGCCCCTACCTCCCCTTTGGATGATTTGGGCAAGAAAAGAAGAAAGAAAATTCCATTCACTGAATTCCTCTAGGCCAGATTTGGATTATGGCTCCATATTCCTTCCAACAGATTCTCCCCAGGAAGATACTCTTAACTCTTCCCTTTTTTTTTTTTTTGGCCAGTCCTGGGGCTTGAACTCAGGGCCTGGGTGCTGTCCCTGAGCTTCTCTGTGCTCAAGGGTAGCACTGTACCATTTGAGCCATAGCACCACTTCCCCACTCCTGGCCTTCCCTCCTCCCCTCTCCCCCTCCCCATTTATGTGGTACTGAGGAATTGAACCACTAAGCCACATTCCCAGCCAACTCTTTCTTCCCATTTGATGGCTTGAGAAACAGAGAACCAAAAGAATGAACCAGCTGGTTAATTGTAACAAATGGCAAAGCCAAATTTCAAATCCAGATTATCTGTCTTGCCATCAAGCCTGTTCTACTTGTCCACAGTGTCTCTTAACTTTATGGATATTGTCATTTCATCTGGGAAATGAAATGGCGCTATCTGCTATCATGGGACTATCGAATGACACAAAATGGGAGGCACTCGGGACACCACACAGTAGCAATGGCTGAGCACACTTCCCTACAACACCACGGGGACAAACAAGAGCTCGGTGACACGCCTGCTGGGATTCTGGCTGGATGGTTAGAATCAGCCAGAAGTTCCTGTTTCCCTAATTATAGTACGGCTATCTCTTTGTCAGAAAAACAGCACATCCGGTGTGCCTTTTGTACACAAGGGAGTGAAGACAAGCAAGGACTGCTGCATTCTGGGACCTGCAGTCTCCAGAGGCCATGGAGGGGTCTGGGATCTGTAGTCAGATGCAGTGCATGCTAGGACTTGTAGTCTCCACTGTTTTCTCCATAGACAGAGCTTCCCAAAGGAATTCCTTCCTTCTGCAGCTGTGCCCAGCTAGGAAGGATCTTGGCCACATGTGGGCGTGTGTGAGCACATTCTCTTTCTGCCTCTTTCCCCATCTGGTCTGTCTTTCTGACTTTCCTACTCTCATTCTGCCTGACAGCCATGTGTGCGTGCACGCGCGCGCGCTTACACACACACACACACACGCATACACATACACACACTGCAATCTCAGGATCTCATTAACTGGCTCTCTCTTCCCTCTGATTTAGCATGTAATGGTTTTCCCTTAGCAGTTTGGCCCCCAGATTTTCTACCCAGGATCCCTACTCCTTTCCAGCCGCTCCCACACTCACCTTCTCCCCCTAGTCCACTGAGATGGCTGCCCGCACTGGAGCCAGAGAGATTGGGGCGGGCAGGACGGGGCCTGGGGTGTGGGGTAGAGAGTGCAGGCCCCAGTGCTGAGGCAAGACCTTCTCCACAGTCATCACCCCTATACCCTTGACAGCACCGCCATTCCATATCTGTCACTGTCTTGTAGGCCACACGGTAGCGAGGACGGAAGAAGTTCCTATACCTGGCAAAGGTAAAGGGGGGAGTCTATTCTCTCTATGCTGTTAGTGATCCTGGTCCCTATCCTCAGAGATCAGCAGCTGCTGAGGAGCAATGACTGTATTTCATGCTGGGTCCCCCTTTCTGGCCAGTATGTGGCCTTGCTCAGTTGACAGCTGTCAGCTTTTTGTCCAAGAGTCAAATCTCTGCTCCTTCTCCCCTTGTCATATGCAGGAACCTTGAGCTCCTGACCTGTCCCAGAGAAGGCTGAGGGCCAGAGGCAAGGGAATTGTGCCTTCAATATCCCACCAGCCAAGCTGCTGCCCTGGCATCTCCTCAAAATGGCTCTGACTGCAGCCATGTCATCTCCCCTCATATCAGCTTTGTACAAACTCCCTGCATGGCCACCAGCCTACTGCCCTTGCGATTTCCCACCAAGTTCCCATTTCCCCATGCTGGGGGCTCACGTGATGCTTCCGGGACATTGGGGCTGGCCCCAGCTGCAGGGTTGGTAGTCTGACTTGATGAAACTTTCTACTCCATCTTCAAGGACACAGCTCACAGTCCGGGTCACCACATAAGCACACCAGTTCCTGTAGACACAATCCTATGTGGGCCAAAGGACCAGAGATACACGCCCCAGACCAGGATTCAGAGGTTACCAGAGTGTCTTGACAAAGGGCCTCTGGGGACCAGTGAGAACCAGGGCTCGGGCAGGGGCAGCCCTCACCCCCCACGCCTTCCTGTTTAGCCATAGCAGGGGGGGGGAGTAGAGAATGGAAAACCATAACTGAAAGAAGTCAGTACTCATGGATGTAGTCTTGGCTACTTCTAAAGTCACACAAATGCTTGTCCCAACTGGTCATACTATGTGTACATTGGCCAGCTGGGTATCTGCATACGATCCCCTGGATATAGACCTCCTACCGCACAGAGAGGACAGAGCAGGCCAGAGTATGGTCAGGGTTAAGTAGAGAATAAACCACTGATGAGCTCTGCCCCTCTTGGGGTTTGAGCGCTGCCCTCTTGGCCCCATTCAAGCTGGCCCTTGATCCACAGCTGGGGAGCAGACCAGGAGTGGTGTTAGAATTACAGGATCACTGCATAGGCCAAGGAAGCCCTGAAGATCCAGGGCTGGCATACAGCTGGCACCAGACAGGAAGGCCTGGCCCATTTCTATGAGAGTCTTTTCCCTGGGCCCTCAAAATGCAGGTCCTCATAGGGAGGTGGTGGGGGCTGGTCCTCCTCCCACCATAGATCACCTGGGCTCTGGAACACACCCTACAAGAAGATAGGCATGTGAGGGGCCCTTGATGGGTTGGTTTTGTCTCTCCCCTCTTTCTTGCATTAAAAGTACAGCCAAGGAAGGTACCCAGCACACCCATACATCTTCCCGCCCCCCTCCACCCTGGGCTGGGACACCCTCTTACCTGTGGCGGCTGGCGGGCCGGGGAGCGTTCTGGGCCTGGGGCCTCCCAGGGCTGAGGGCCCCGTTGCCCCCTGTGTAGAGGCTGTAACCTCGAGGAGGGTAGCTGGCAGCTTTGGTGGCTGCAGTCAGCAGGCAGCAGAGGTAGCAGCTCCAGAGGGTGCTGGGGGCCATGGTGGGGGGCTCCTTTCAGCTCTCAGAGGCACATCCCGACCTGACAATTAGTGCCTCTGCCTGGCCCTGGGGGATGCCGCTGCTCCCAGGCTCCACGGGACAGCACGCTGGGCCGGCCCTGTGCCCCCGCAGGAAGCCAAGGCCGGCAGCCCCCAGCCACACAGGCCCAGCCACACGCCTCCTCCTTGGCTGCCAGGCCTGACCCCTCTCCCCCTCCTCTTTCCTTCTCAGACTCCTGTCTGTCCCTCCCTCGGTTCCTTCCGCTCTCCTCTTCTGCACTTCTGAGGGGAGTCTGTTCTCTGGGCCCCTGGCCTCCTGCGCCTGGTCCCTGCCCTTCTCAGATGCTGCTTCCTGAGCCTCCACCCCCCCTGGCCCCAGCTGGCCCTCCTCTGGTCTCCCTGCCCTTTTCCCTGATGACCAGATCCTGGGGGGTGACAAGCTTTACCCCTGTGGCCGTTCAGAGGCACAAGAGTGACTATGAGGCGGGCCAGCCTCCTCCCTCCTCTCTCATTCCCCTCCCTTCCCCCCCTGTCTGGCTGGCGGTCCAGCCTCCCCCTTCCTCCCCCCACCTCTCCAACCATCGTGCGCCACATCTGCTTCTTGTTAACTCCGGGAGAGAGAGAAAGAGAGAGAGAGAGAGAAAGAAGAGAGAGAGAGGGAAAAAAGGAAAAACAGAAATGTGGAGTTGCTGCAGGGCTTGGGGCCAGGCTCTCAGACAGGACACATGGAGCCAGGGCCAGAGCTGGACAGGAGGCCCAGGACTGGTGACTAGGACCAGGAATAGGAGTTAGAGTCCCAGCTCTCCTGGGCCAGGACAGCCTCCCATGGGAAAGGATGGGGAAGGAGGGAGGGAGCCAAGGGGAAAGCAGGAGGCAAGACTATATAGGGGAGAATGAATGTACAGGGCTCAGCAGGACCTCCCTCTCTATCTGGTCCAGATGCCTCTTTTAGAGATGTGAACACTAAGGCCCCAAGTGGGAAAGTAACTTGTTCAGGGTTACACAGAAAGTCAATGTCCTCTAATGTACAAATCAAGCAACTCTAAACACCCAGGTCAGTGACTCAGGAGAAACAAGTCAGAGAGAAGAGACAGCAGTTCCCATGGGGGTAGGGAAAAGATGGAGTCCACCGAGGCAGGCAGGAAATCCAGAGAACACAGAAAAGGAAGAAAGGAATCAGGAAATGGGGTGGGGTGGTAGTGATAAGTTAGGTCCTTTTACTCCCTGGCCTAAGGGCCAGTCCCCTCTCTTCAACAGGCCAGGAGCCCTCAGCTTGGCATGAAAGCTCCTGGTAAGATGTCTGACCTGCAAGCCTGGCCTCCTCTTCCAGCTGTGCTCTGAACCAGGCTTTCCCAAGTGGGAGAAGAGGTATTAGATGGAGGGGAGACACGAAGGTGCTGGGCACTGTGATGGTGCTTCTGTCACAAAGTCATATCGAAGACTCAGGTACTGCCAACTAAGAAACAAGTCAGAGAATAGAACACAGTCCCTAAGCGGAGAAGAACCACCAGAAAGCAGGACAGATCAACTGCCAAGAGACCAAGACAAAGGGATGATGTGTGTTCTGGCTAAGAGGAGGGGAGAAACAGCTGGCTGCTGGGGTAGTCAGAGAAGAGCTGCCGGAAAAGACAGAAGTTGAACAGCGCTGGGTGGCAGGGAGGAAGCAAAAAATAGAGACCTAGGAAGGGCAGAGATTTCTGTCAGGGAATATGGCCTACCTGTTTCCTTCTTTACAATACAGAGATAATAGGAGTAGCCTTTATCCTAGCTTTGTGAAGATTAAGTAAGCTAATATATGTGAAACATTTTAAACAGTACTTGGAATATGATAAATGTTCAAGTTATGTTAGCTTTTCTGTGCATCAGGAACAAGTAGGGAAAAAATCGAGAGGCAGATTATGAGCAAATTAGGGAAAGGCTCAAGTGACAGATAATGAGATTGGATTGTAAGGTTTTAGAGTAGAGAAGCACAGGTATACACAGAAAAGACTCAAAAGATCTGACACTGATTGCTCACACCTGTAATCCTAGCTACTCAGGAGGCTGAGCTCTGAGGATTGTGGTTTCCTGCCCAGGCAGGAAAGTTTGTGAGACTCTTATCTCCAATTAACTACCCAAAAGCTGGAAATGGAGCTGTGGCTCAAGTGGTAGAGCACTAGGCTTTGAGCAAAAATGCTCAGGGAGAAAATCCAGGCCCTGAGTTCAAGCTCCAGGACCAACAAAAAGAAAGGAAGGAAAGGAAATGAAAGGGGACAGGAAAAGAAAGGAGAAAGGGGAAAGGAGAAAGTGGCAGGAAAGGGGGAAATAGAAAGGGGAACGAGGAAAGAGAAGGAAAGGAAAGGAGGTGCCGGCAATCAATGGACAGAGTATCAGGGACCAAAGACTATAGTCTCACACCAACTAGCATTGTAATTTTGAGCAAATCCCATGCCATCATTGGAAGCTTGCTCATTGTCTAGGACCCCTTCCAAATTCTACATTGCAAAATGATACGGACAAGCTTGGATGGTAATAATGGCCATGAGGAAAAAAAGAGGAGGTTGTGATTGCTTGGTGACTGTGTAGGTAGTAAGGGACCAGATGGAAAGACACACCAGAGAAGATTCCAGGGTTTGAGCCAGGATGGGGTGGTAGAAAAGAGAAGCAAGTTTTTGTTTTGAGGTCTTAGGATCTGAACTTAGGGCTTCATGCTGTGCTTGCTATGCAGACATTCTACTACTTGAGCCATGTCCCCAACCCAAGAGGAGAGTAAGCTGGAAAAAAATATATCCATAAGATGTTTAGAAATGAGGATCTGGATTCTAGGAACCCCTTATAAAATGATCTTTAGAATAGATGCTACCAAATCTTCAGCATGACTGTGAGTGATCTGCCTCTGTGTCTGATGACCCAGAATATGACCCTGATGGCTGGAAGAAATGTTTGTGCAAAGTCAGGGTGGTGAAAATAAACACCAGAACCAAGAGAAGTAGAAATTTGTGCCCGTGCCTTACAAGCCTAGGGACCAGCACAAAGGGAGATTTAAAAGAAATGTTCACAGGGGATCCTATCTCAAGAATCTGTCTGTGGAGGCTAGCATCTTTGTCCCTGACGCTGGCAGAGAGCCTGTCCACTTCCCTTCCAGATTGCTCTGGCTGCTGTTATAGGTTTTCTTTTCTATTCTTCATCTTCTCTCCCTTCGGGGCCCTCTGGCAACCTAAACAACAACAACAAACATCTCAACCATCTTGTCACTGCCCTATTACTACTCATTTCCTCTTCTGTCCCTGGAGTTAAAAAAATGTTATAATAGTTTAATTATGTCAACTCAAAAATGCTGGCTTTGAAATAATTCCAGTAGGTTGCATTTCATTTAGCCTCGTAATTAGGAGCCAAGACTAGAAGCTGAAATAAATATCTGCGAGATTACAAATAAATCAGTGGCTCCTGGGTCACTGGGGAGAACAATTCCCACTGCTGGCCTGGTGATGGGAAAGCAGGCTTCAATGGAAATTAAGGCTGGAAAGGATGCAGCGGTGGTAGTGAAGGTGGCAGTGGTATTATGGTGGTGGCACACATTTCCAGCCACAAATTTCTAAAAGCAACTGGAAATAACTGCGGACACCAAAAAAGGTTAAGTTGCTGGAACACTGGAGCAGGGCCTATTTAAAACTTCTCCCAAATTGGGATTTCCAAGAATCTCATGCCAGTGAGAAATCTTGCCATACTAGACAACTAACTCATTCATTTTAACTATCACAGACTGAACTCTGAGTTCAGTGTTTTCAGGGACAGGACAGTAGGGGGCACCAGCAATGTCTAGCACTCCTGTCAAAAGATTGAATGTAGGGAAGAGAAGGGGAATCATGAATTGGACTTATGTCAACCAAGATGGGAATTCAAACTTGTAAAGAGTCTTGAGCCAGGTGCCTGTGGCTCTGTAATCCTAGATACTCAGGAGACTGAGATCTGAGGATCACAGTTCAAAGCCAGCCCATGCAGGAAAAGTCCATGAGACTTATGGCCCAGAGAACCGGAAGTGGTGCTGTGGCTCAAATGGTAGAGCACTAGCCTTTAGCAAAGTACTCAGGGACAGTGCCTAAGCCCAGAGTTCATAAAAAAAAAAAAAAAAAGAGTCTTGAGTCAAAGTCCACTGCTTCCCAAATGCATACATTTTCCCCCTTTCAACCTTTCTACCAGGCACAATATTTTAGGAGCATGGACTTGGTCCAGTCTCTTTCTCCAGGTCTTGCAGATTCCAAACGCTGAAGCCTAACCCTAACCTTTTGTCCTTTCCTTGAAAACATCACATGAATCAGAGATTAAGCTCTAGTGTCCCTTCCAATCTCCCTTCTCAACTTCCTTCAAGATGCAGTTTTGCCTGTCTTATTTCCCATATCATTTCTATCAGTTTGTTTTTCTGTTGTCCTTAGTTCAGTTCAAGATACCATTTTTTTATTTTCTCTTCCAAGCACTAAGCCAAATGATCCATTCAAGGCTGATAAAGATTTGCTGACCTAGATACAGGAAGTGCTGGAAGGTGAAGAACATTTCTGGGTGGTTTTAAAATAAATCATTTCTCTCTTTTCTTAGACTCTAGGCTTTCTCTCTTCTCCTGGACTTTAGAACAACCTATTGTGTCCATCGTCCCAAATGGAATATAGAATGGAGGTGAGAACAAGTTAAGCTGACTTTAATCCGTGGTAGACCCTTGGCAAGATTACCCTCCAGGACTCAGGTTTTTCTTTATAAAATGAGGTATTAGTGGCTCATACCTATAATCCTAGCCATTCAGATGGCTGAAATCTGAGGATCATGGTTCAGAGACAACCTGGGAAGATATATCTGAGAGATTCTTATCTCCAATTAATCGGCAGAAAGCTGGAAGTGGAGGTGTGGTTCAAATGGAAGAGTGCTAGCCTTGAACCGAAAAGCCAAGTGAGACCACAAGGACCTGAGTTCAAGCCCCAGCATGATTGTGTAGGAGTGCGTGCATGTGTGCATGTGCGTGCACACACACACACACACACACACACACACACACCTTGACGATGCCCTTCAGCTGTGGTTGTCTGCTAGTAATCTAGCTTAGGACAGCATTGGAAATCTGAAGCACTTCTAAAGGCTTTCTTTCATGTCGTCTGTAGGTAGAAAGTTTACCTTCCGTGGTAGCCTAGAAGAATTGCTTATTTTTAAAAAGGAAAGTCTAGTTCTGATTCAATAGACCCAAGTGTCTGGTTGACTTGGATCTGCTTCAGATTTCCAGGAGGCAGGAAGCATAATGATGTGTAATCCTTTAGGATCTACACCTGCCTTCTCCCAGAGAAGAGCTGGGAACACACAAGCTCACTGAGGCTGCATGGGAAGTGTGTCTGGGTTTCACCGTTATGTGGAGGACGTTATGTGGGTTGGGGATTCTAACCATGAAACTTCTGGGAAATGGTGAGGGAAAGGGGAGTTGTGAGGGGAG